AGAGATGCGCTGCCGAGTCGCACTTGAGTGATCCAGTAGCTTCGGGATTCCGCTAAAACGCGTGAGCTCAGAACCCGCTACAACGAGGAAGAATTTTACCGATTGCAGTGCGAATAACAGATTCGCAAGACGAACGAGAGAAGCTCCTGCGTATCAGCCAAGACCACAGGGCGCACATGCTCAAGATCAAGAAGGGGTTTGAGCGGCTGTTTTGCTGAAAGCTATAAAACTGAACAATAAGTTCAGGCAGAATAAAAGAAAGTACCGATGAGCTGTTTGACTAACACTTCACCTTCCTCTGGTCCTCCTTCATGTTCGCGAAGTTGCTCGTTTGCAAGCATGCGTCGGGCGTACTTGATAAGGTCACGGGCAAGCTGTGGTGCAGTGTCCTTCGAGAATTGGGAGCGCGGAGGTAGGTTCAACTTGAGAGCCAGGTCGGGATAATAAACTGGCAGCGTTGTCAGCTAATGAGTCGCTGTAAAGATCTAAAACTTACTTGGGTCAAGGACATAGGCAAGAATAAACATGCCAGGGGTGCACTCATTCATGAAGATGTTGAACCGCCGGTCAAATGCGGCAAAGGTTTCAGCTTGATGGGCAATGAAAAACGATTCGGCTGGAGCCTACATCAAAATCGTTGAACAAAAGTGGAGGGAAAGGACTCACATGGATCATTAAATGCGCGCTGGAATGCGACCGCGAGCCCAATCCAAATAAAGAAAACATCGGAGCATGTAACTTGTTGTCCCTCCAGGGTTTTCAGGCCACGGGCAATTGGGTTGAGCAGGCGTCCGATTTGATTGAGCTGAGTACGAAAGGAACTGTTCTCATCGGAGCCAGCTTTGACATATTTGCGGAGGTGGCGCGTCTAATCAATAGCGTCAGTTTGTGCGAACTGCTAAGAATATAACCTACGCCTTGAGTATCAAAAGGTATTTTGCCGGAAGCAAAGCATTGCTCCATGAACGGGAGACAGCGTAAAACACTGCTAGAATGAGCGGCAAACGTTGAGAAGCGGGTAGCACCGCCGGCTTCAATCCCGCGCCGTTCCTTTTCACCTTTCATCGCTTCCTTTAGGTGGTGCTTGCCATAGTTACTATGAGAGAAATAATTCGTAAGGCCATTGACGATCGTCATGACCTAACAAGTGCGGAAATGAGATCACGTCAACACTGTAAAATAAGACGCACTTGACTGAATGCCTTGACTTTCGGGAAGGTCTTTGAGCCAAGGACCAAATCCTTTGCAAGCAGGTTCAACTGGTGACAGGGATCCGGGCAGTTTAGTATCCAAGGGAATTTTGCGCAGATGAGACTTATTCACATTCTTGGTGGTGTCTGAAACAACGAGAGAAAAATTGACGGCCATGTAAAGCCCCAGAACCTGTAACGAGTCAGTAAATAGGACCATCGGGTGATAAGGCAGCTCACGGCAAGAAGACGATTGAAAATATTCTCTCCGCTTGTTGAAAAACCTGTCATCGCAAGCCCTTCCACTAAGAACGACATCCGATTTGGTGTAGTGACATGAACCGTATAGATTTCGTCTCCCCCCTTGCTAGACCATCCATCAAAGGATAGTGTAAGGTGAATGAACTGCGCAAGAAAAACTTTGAGTAGCTTGATGACGTATGCAGCTTCTGCGGCAATATGCTTGACGAAGAAAGAGGAACGGTCGGGAACGGCATAACTAGGGCACCTGGAGAACTATTATTAGCCGAATAAATTGAAGTCAACTGCAACGTACATGGCAAGACAAAAATCGATAAAAAACCCGTTATCAAGAAGGCTAAAGGCAAGAGCGCAACAGATGATCATGCGCAGCAAAAAGTAGTCGATAGTGACCTGGCGGGTAGCGGTAATTCTGCCGGCTCCCCAATTATCTTGGAGAGTCGTCTGTCCAGAGACAGAGGCAATATTCGGAGCCGTGGTGGTGTTAGGGGAGGAGGAAGGACCGGGAGTGGAAGAGGACGATTCGGGAGTAGGAGAGGACGAGGCGGGGACGCCAGCTGGTGAAATGCCGGCAACGGGGACACGTTTAAAATAAGGATTGGAGGCGTTACGTGCCTGTGCAGTACCCCGCACACGTGGTGCTCCCTGGCCGTTGTTTTCCAGCACACTAGAAGTAGATTTGTTTTCCAGAGCGGTTCGGACGTCTTTGACTTCAGTCGGAAAGTCGCGTGCAAGCACCTGCCCAGAAACACATCAGAATTATTAAACTACCTAAAAAGAAAATAACCACGAGCCGTGCAGGTAATTGCATGCTTATGCAAACGATCCGAGGCTTTGTTGGCAGATTGATTGAGACAGCCAATACAGTAGAAGAGCGGTTTTCCATTCGCCCCGGTACGTTCAATAACAAGACGGGCATTGAGATCATTGAGAGTCCGGCTTCGCCGCGAGTTCGTGCGGGGAGACACATTATCAATCAGTCGCTGGGTACGTTCGCTTTCTATGCTGAGGCTCGCGGCCTGCAGACTAGAATTGGAGACCTCCGTGGCTGGCTCGACCGGACCATCGATGTCCATCGCATTTTCTATGCCAGGAAAAATCGCGGCGGCTATAAAAGCATAAGGCAGGCATCGAGGGACCAAAAAGACGAACGTACTGTTGGCTTAACTGCCTTGTCTCCTTCGCGGAGAGCTAGTTCATACTGCTGGACATCATTAAAGTAGCTGCTGAAGGGTTTGGCGGCCTCATTCTCCCAATACTTCTCCCCAAAGACGTCCACCAGGCCTTCGCTGAGTTCGGTAGTTCCGAGTTCCTTCGATCGGTCAAGGAAGTCGTTGGCAAGTCCAAGTAGGAGGTCATACTGCTCCTTGTCCATGGTTTCGAATAGAGATGTGGGGGGGAAGGCACAAGTCTGCTCAAATTTCAAATTCCAATCGAGTCATAGATACGGCCGCCTGATCGTCGCTCTGATGCCCAGCTATTGTTTCACACTTGCAAGGATGACTTTGAACGTCGACGAGAGCTTTTTTGAACATGGTTTGGCCCTAAAAATAGGCTCGACAGCCTGGGAGAACCGACAAAGCCCTAGACCGGCCGGCTGCAAAATTTACATTATTTACAGCCAAAATGGGAGGTCCCGTGTAAAAAATGTAAATTACATGTAAATTACATGTATTTTTTGATGTGTAAATTACACAACCATTTAATACCCAGCCCTATTGCACGTATATCCGACGAGCTTGCCCCAATTTTGGAGCATAGGATCACATCTGACGATGTTCCCCTCGCTTATTTGTGATCTGACGACCTTGCGCGATCAACTGACGAGGATCTTCCATCAACCGACGAAAATCCACATCCGACGATCTGACGAGGTACCCTACGACTCCGACCGCGGGGACGATAGGCCTTGGAACCCGCCAGTTCCTGCGATGCCTAAGCGCCGATCGCCGTTCACGCCGGGTCGGAAGAGGATCAGAGATGATGCCGCTGATGCCACCTTCGATAGTTTCGGATCCAAGTCGCCCAGCCCTCCAAAAAAGGCCCGGCGCAACAATAACTCAACAACAGCTTATTAGTCGGCGGCGAATTTCATTCGGATATAGTCGAGCTCTATTTTCAACCCACTTGTTTAGTTAATTTACACCGACTTTAATAAATTCGTGTTCTAAAATTCCGGTAGCGGGCCGTGCCGCTCGTCGGCCTTACAGCTTTATAGAAGCGAAGGACCAAAATGGCTAGCTCGCGGGGCATCGAAATGCCCGCGGCGCGACTCGGACAAGATTCAAGGTACTGCCGCACGGGTATCGCTTGCATCCGACGCGCACCGGCACCGCGGAGCCGCCCATGAAAAGGGGAAGAAAAGCGCGAAAACCAAAGAAAACCACACACAATAAAGCCCCTGCCTCGCCTTCGTGATGTACGCGACGCCCAAATAGCCCGCGAGCAAGAGGATCTGGACGGGGAGCGCGAGGAGGGGCGCGGGCGGGGCGTTGGTCATGAGAAGCTCGAGGAGCGCGAAGGCGCTGTTGAGCACGTGGAGGGAGGTGTTGGACCACGCTAGAGGTGGGGCGTGAGTTTGGAGGACGAAGGAGAATGAGGGGGAGGGCAAGGAGGAAGGAGGGCGGAGGGGGCGGACGCACCAGAGAAGGCGGTAGAGAAGGTGTCGGGCGAGGAGAGCAGCGCCCAGAATACCATCGTTACGATGAACACTGCGCCCCATATGCATCTTAGCACACATCCGGGCGGGAAAAAAAATGAAAGGGCGGACGCACGGAACACCACAACCGTCGACTGCAGCAGCACATGCGCCGCCTGCATCCCCCGCCCCTACCCCCCACCCCGCAACCAGTACCCCGTCCGCCCCCAGCGTGCGCAGCCCGCGCTCTGCACGCCCGCGGCGACGAGGTACGCGGCGAGCCCGATGTAGGAGAGCTGCATGAAGGAACTGAAGAAAGAGCGCCCGGAGCCGGCGGCGGCGTCGAGCGCGAGGGCGGTGCAGAGGGGTCTGTCTGCTGAGTGTCCGAAGTCGCTCTTGAAATTCACGCAGATGCGCTCCGAGCATCACCACGCCTCCTTCTAGCTTGCATTCATTCGCCGTCCCACCTGCACCATTTTTGGTGCAACGTCAACGGAATCCCCGCCAGCGGTCGCGAGATCTAGAGCGGATTAAAGAGCTGGGCAGAGCTTCGCCTTGTCTTAGAGCACTGCAGGGGTAATTAGAAGGGATCCAACCAAAAAAAAAAAAAGGACCACAATGCCCGACTGATGGCGTGGGCTCGAGTCGAATGAGCACCTTCTGCTTCACACTCAACACAGATGCGCTCCGAGCGGTACCACGACGTGTTCTAGCTTACATTCGCCTCTCTATGTGCATTGTTTAGCACGAGCTTTGAAGAAATCCCCAAGCACAAAACCCAGTGGTCGCGAGGATTGAATCCAGATCTGAGGAACGCTTCGAAGCCATAGACTCAGATAGATTCGCTTATTTTATAGCAGTCAATTAGCAGTTAGAGCAAATCGAACCAAAAAGCTCTTCGCGAACACACGGAGCGTGGGCCCGAGTCGAACGGGCATCCTTCTGCTAAACATTACACGTAATCCCCATCATTAGTTACATGCAGATGTGCACCGAGCGCCACCACGCCTTCCTCCAGCCTGTATATGCCTCTACATGTGAACGAGTTTCCGCGGGTGACCTTTCAAGGAAACTTACGAGCCAAAAGAAAACAGAGATGCTGGGAGAAGGAGTGGCGTAGGCTCGAGTCAAACGAGTACCTTCTGCTGAATATTTTATTGATTGCGGCGTAACTATCCCCAGATGCGCGTCGAGCGCTACCACACCTTCTCCTAGCATATCGAATGAAGACTGGGTGACACTATGGTTCCCACTAGAATGAAGACTGATGAAATGGCCGGTGATGCGAAAGAAAGAAAAGGGCTTTCGCCTTGAGAACTGGAATTTCAGGAATGTACCAGATACTACCAGTTGGCGCAGTGACTGTGTTGGGACTAAACAAGAAGGGGCCACCTTGGCCATCCTCTCCAACCTGCACACACAAGTGTCTGTCAAGGGTCATCTGAAATGGGAGAATAGACGACGATCGGATGCGATGAAAAGAGTAAGTGATCGTGAGCTGCGAGTCCGCTCTGGAATGGAAAAACCACCCACCTGATGATACTGAGAGGACGGATTTCTCTGAAGTCCTGCACTGGTCACTGGGACGCTAGTGGAAAGCAAGGAGTGAATTCCGTCCGTCGTAGGTCCACATTCACGAGCTAAATAAAAGGATCGACGGCGAATCTAAATGGAGAATGTGGAAAGCTGGCCCATCCCGGTCACCTGCCACTTGACGATGAGGCCGTGGATGTCACTAGAATGTCATATTATGAGGTCGCCTTGGAGGTGTTTCAGCCAGGAATAAAGATTCAAAGACAACCTCTGAACATCAGCCAGAACTGGCGAGAAAGACATGTTGTCGCATGGATTTTCAGTCGGTGTCAATTTGTGGCCGCGGCTGGCAGAGGCAAAGTTCGAGGGGATTACTGTGTAGAATAAAAACAAAAAAGTAGAAACATCGCGCAGGGCAGCGGAATTCCCATATCAATATTATGTGGGCGCTCAAGCACTAGCAGACTATCTTCAAGGCATCCAGTGTGGCAAGTTGAACCCCAGATTCTGAGAAGTTATCGGACCAAATTGCCGTCTCCAGGATGGCGTAGAGAATCAAGCCTGCCGGTGAGAGGATGCAAAAGAAGAGAAGCCAGGAAGGATCAATATGCGGCCAAGCAATCATGACGAATCCTTTCTTGGGTCCTTCCGTCACAGAACACAGCGTTCAGCAAGAGTTCATAGGAAACCAGTAGAATTACGAGCCGCCTTCTAGCCTAGCCTGAGATCGAAACAAGATCGCGCACCCCAGAGTTCCTCCAAATTCTTTATCGTACTTTCGATCTCGGGATGAACTTGGCAGGGCGGGCCTTCGACCAGATAACGAAGAGAGCTTGCTGTGCTGGAAGGCAACTTGATACTAGTTCGTCGACATGTAGAATGTCGAGGTCGTGCGCTGGGAGGGAAGACACGTGGCGCTGGGCTAGAACCTTGTTCTGAAGCTGCGTTCACTGACAACGCTGGGCCCGACTCCTGCAGAATCACGGATCACGATAAGCTTCCGATGAATTAAAGATGCAATTATATGGTAAACACTCGGCTCACGACCAAAAGGCTCCGAATTCTCGAAGAACCACGCCTACTGCACGCACACCTACTCCATACGCTCCAAAATCTCGGCCACGACTTCTTCGAGGAACAGCACATCGTCGTGCCCTGCCTCCGACACCTCCGTCCATGCTTCCACGTCATCCGCGCATATCAGCCCCGCGGCCTCCAGCTGGCCCTTGATCCACGCGCGTCTCTTCGCGGGCGTCATCCCGTCCGCGGCGCCATACACGACCCGTATCCGCAGCGCATCGTCTGGATAGCGCTCCGCAAGCCTCGCAAACGCGCCCTGCAGCACCGCTGCATCGTCTGTCAAGAGCGCCTCCTGCCCCATCGCGATGCGCGAGTTGCCCATCCCCATGCGCATGATCGCCGCGCGGCCTGGACGGTTGACGCAACGGTGCAGGTACCCGTGCTGGTGCGCCGGCTTGCGCTGCTCACGCGCCTCCGGGTCCTTGTCGCCGGCGGCGGAAGCGGACCCGCCGCTCCAGTTCACAGCACACGTGAAAAACGGGACGATCTGCAGGAGGGAGCCCAGGGCGTTGGGCAGTGGCGCGGGGAGCGCGGTGGCGAGACAGAGCCGCTGATGATCTGGGGCACGAACGGGCCGCTGAGTGTCCAACTGGTGGCGATGAGCATCAGCGGGAGGTGCAAGAGCGTGTAGAGTGTGTAGAAGAGCCCGTTGGAGTGCGAGAGCGCGCCGAAGTACGCGATGTACGTGTGCGCGAGGACGGCGAGGAGGGCGGTGTAGCGGGTGCGCGAGGCGAGGGGATGGGACCGCCGCACGGGGAACCGCCGGCGCCGGGCTTGTCAAGGGTGAGGATCTGCACGCGGTGCGCGCGTGCGATGCCGGGCGCAGGGCGAGGGATGCTGAGGGGCCCGGGTCTGCGTCAAGCCCTGATGGATCTTGCGTTAAAGCGGCCATAAGGTTCGCAGGGGCGACTCGACTTGTGCTGCAATCCGAATCGGCGCTTTAGACCAGCGACGGGAACTGCGGTCCTGAATGGGCGTTGTGGGGCGGAGCAAGAGGGATGCCGTCAGGAGGCGATGCACGCGCGATCAGTCGCGGATCTGCATATCGGATCTGCAACATGTCGGATCCGCAACTCCAGGCAGTTCAACATGCCCCAGTTGGCTGAGAACGTTGCATGGACTGCTGCTGACGAGCAAGCTGTAGGTCAAAGATACAAGTATGAGTCTAAGGATAGGCTCTCCACACACCGGCACTCGGCCTTCAGATTTTTTCCCCCCGTCCAACAATGTAGCCCCATGGACATGGCCTGATAATCATCTGAGCGTACCATTCCCCACAGTGGGGTGCTTTTGGGTTCGTTCCGAATTACTTGTATGTCTATGTTCAACCGAATCTTCATCCGAGTCCCCGTCAATCGACCATTGCAACCTCGCCCACGCCATATTTCTTGCTGTGCTCCAGCGACGGCCTCTTTATATGATTGAAAAATGACTTGGCAGCGTGGACTTGTCAAGGAAGTACGGAAATGTTCTACTTACAAGGAAGAAGTAGATAAGAAGTAGCGATGAAGTGAAGTTTCGGCAACCATCGGCTTCGGATCGGAGTCGCTTGCGGAATGCGGCTCGATTGGCATGGAACCCTCGGCATGGGCTGGCATCTGCTATGCCGGGACACTTTGTTGATGACCGTTTCACATACAGCCAGATAAAGCAAACACATCGACCCTCCAACGAAGCCCAAAATAATGCCCCTATCCCTGCCAAAAATCAGTTCAAAGCCTCCCGCAGCTCATTTCACCTGAATTTTACTCTGATTTGCTGCAAACCATGCTCTCATGTTCGGACGAAGAGCAGACATTAGTATATAATTACCAAGGAACACACAGGGAGAGATACGAGAACATAAGCTAAGCTTTGCTGCTCCGGAGAGCCTCATTCAGATCCTCCGCTTCCTTCAATTTCCCGAGCTTGGTATATGTTTCCACCAGAGTCTGCATTGTGTCGACAAGGTGGAAATGGGTGGCATTCAGAAGCTCTCTCTGTTTCTCGAGTGCCACAACCAAAAGCGGCTCTGCCTCCTGCCATCTTTCCAGCTTGTTCAATGTGGATCCCAGATTTGATATGGTTCGTAGGGTATCTGGATGATTGTTACCTAGCATCTTCTTCCGCTTCTCGAGCACTACAAGCTCGAGCTGCTCAGCCTCCTGCAATCTCCCTAATTTGTTGTATGTGGCTCCAAGGATTCCCTGGGAAATTAGGGTATCTGGATGGTCATCACCCAGGATATTTCTCCGATCCTCAAACACTACAAGTGTGAGCTGCTCAGCTTCCCTCAATTTCCCTTGGATGTGGTATGTATAGGCCAAGTTCGACATGGTTCTGAGGGTCTCTGGATGTTTGACACCTACCACATCCCTTCGCTTTTGAAGAACTTCAAGCTGAAGCACCTCTGCCTCCTGTGGTCGTCCCATTCTTATGTACGTGACTGCTAGATTTCCCAGAGCAACTAGAGTATCTGGATGCTTGTTCCCTAGAATACTCCTCCGCTTGCCAAGAACTATAAGTTCAAGTGGCTCTGCCTCCCGTGGTCTTCCCAATAGGGAGTAGGTGAGTGCTAGGCTCCCCATAGCCGCAAGGGTCTGTAGATGGTTGTCACCGAAATTTTGTCTCATTTTCTGGAGCACAAGGACGTTAAGTTCCTCTGCCTCCTTGAGCTTTCCTAAGTTCTGGTATGTCGATGCCAGACCCCCCATAGCATCCAGTGTATCCGGATGGCTGTCACCTAAAATTGCCCTCCTCTTCTCCCAGAGTGAAACCCCAAGTTCCTCTGCCTCATTTAATTTTCCTAATTGTCCATATGTCCATGCCAGCCAGTACATAGTTTCAAGAGTGTCTGGATGGTCCTCCCCTCGGAGTGTCTTCCTTTTTTCCAGCACCGCCAAACCAAGCTCTGCAGCTTTTTCGAGCTTTCCTGTGTACATGTATACCTTGGCATAATCATGTCTGAAATCTTGGATTGCATTTGAATTGTGTTGGATTAGGAAATCAATGTGGGGCTGCATCCATGGACTTGCTAGACGTATATCTCGGATTGATTGCCCTCTAAGTGAAATTCTTGCAATGGCAACCATACATTTATGACATGTCTCATCTGAGAGGGTACTGCGAGTCCAATCATGGACCAGGGGATGAATTGAGAACATATTTTTCTCTGAATCAAAGTTGATCAGGGAGTATGCCCTGATTTCATTTGTCACGTCCATGAAGCACAAGGGATCCCATGCACCAGAGAGGTCTGAAAGTTGTGACAGCACCTTGACTGGCATCTCTAGCTCTTCTTTTGATAGGCTGGAGGGTTTAAATACATAATTTGTGGCATTCTTGAATATATTCTCCGAGATTCCGTGATAATGGAGGAATGAACAAAGCTTCAAAAATGTCTTGGCCTGTTCGCTG